ATTACAACAATTGAAAACTAGAAAGAGAAACTAAAAGAATTTGAGGGAGAGAAGGGAGGGGAGCTCTAGAGAAGTGTTTGAGAGCTCCCCCCCTTGGGGGTGTTTTATGAAGCTTGAAGACTTCTCTATTTATAGGGCTAAGAGGGAGGAACATCATGATGAATTCCAACACCACCATTCCTCTTTTAATACAATCCATAACTCCCACTTCATCTTGTTTATGTTAGTGTGGTTGGAATCAATTCCATCCCATACTTCTTTTGCTGCACCTCAAGCTTTCTTCACATGGGATTTCAAAGGTGTTCAATTGTGGCTGCCTTTTGCTGCCAACCCATGTGGGTTTTCTTTTAATTGCTGGAAAAAACGATTCTTCTGAACTAGGCTTGGTGTTGGAAGGCCTGAGGTTTCAATATGTATCCAATGGAGCTCAAAATTTGATATGTCGTAATAGACACCCATTGGAACAACTTTTATGAAGAATGTATTCCCATCTGAGCAGCAAAAGTGTACGTTTTGGGCCTTGCAAGTTGACTGCCGAAAATAGACTGGAATTGACTTCATTGCAGTCAGCTTGTGGGCTTGTTTTGGGCTTGATCTTCCCTCCTAAAAAATCTGGAAAAATCTGGATCTTAAAACTCTTTGAATTATATTTCCAAGCATATGCAGCCAGGCTCAAGGAAAAATCGGAAAGCCCTTCAAATGTGATATTTGGCCCAGTAACGCAGATGCTGCCGAATTTGACCTTAAGTTGCCAAAACTTGTATAACTTTCTCTAGAAGACTCGGAATCATGAACCGTAAAATTCTCCAGAAACTAGACTAACGCATCTTTCCAATGATGTATGGCTAGTTATCTGGTTCTTCTTGAGAAAGTACAGTCCAATTCATGAAGTTGACTGATCTGCAGACACCGATGAGCCAACTTGTCTCCAAAATGCATTTAATGAGTCTCAAGCTTATTACACAGAAACAAACACAAAACTTATTAAAAGCACAAGTTTAACTAAAAAACATAACCAAATAATAAGTTAGAAGGATACAAAATGACATGTAATTATGCACCGTTCAGATTGGTCCTGAGTTAGTTGATTGTTTTTCTCAGTTGTTTGACTTTTATGTTTTGTCAATAGCACGGGTGATACTATTTCCAACACATGGGTTTTGTTCCAGGTGGTTTTCTTTGAGAAGGTTTTAACGTGACCGCCGTTAACATGCTAGTTTCTCTATGTAATGTTTTGATTTGGTTTAATAAAATACCATCGTTTTCTCAAAAGAAGGTTTAAAATAGCAGCCATCACCCTAATCATTGTCGCCGCCGCCAAGTTCGTCACCATTGCAACTAGAAGAACATGGGTCGTGAAGACGCCCGAAAGAACTGACTGGTGAGAATGGGGGCAAAACCCCAACATATTCATTTGGTCAAACAATAGATCCACAAGTGTTGGTGTAGGTGGCTCGATACAAACAATGATGTGTAAGTCCCACATTGGAGAATACAACAATAATTTATAGTTTAAATGTAGGTGGTCCACTCCCAATTGCACCGAGGACTTTTATGATAAAACCCCACACCACCATTGGGCCTTCTCTCTCCTAGGTGGTTAAGGGTGAGACAATATTTGTGCATGATTTGAATGGGTAGTGGACTCATATTGGGCCCATTAGTATAACACAAGGATCCTTAACTCTCAAAACCTAGTAGCCACATCACCCATTGTGTGATGGAGGACAAAGAGGAGGGAGGACTCAGCAGTAGCAAGGGAAGGGACAACAACATGGATAGGACGGAAGGTTTGCCAATTTTGGCTCCAAGACTCTCACAAGGGAGATAGATATATGTCTCACAGAGGAGAGAGAAACCTCTCACAAAAGGAGAAAGAAAGGAAGAACAAAAGTGATGAGAGGAGATAAGGAAAAGAGAAGGGAGTAAAAGAGGAAAATAGAGGAAATGATGAGAGTGGAGGATGAGAAATGATCTCCTCCCCCAGGGACGATCCCATGAACATGCTAACCTAGGCTATAGCCTAGGGAACTTGTTTTTTTTATAAACTAAATTAATACCCTAGCCTAGGCCACTCACACTACAACATTTTAGTCCTTGCGCGATGGAATTTTGAGCGACGACGGCTAACTCGTCGCACAAAATATTACTGCGCGACAGGGAAAACAAAGCGTAGCACAAACGCGTGTGACAAAATAATTCGTCGCGCAGAGTCCGTTTGTGCGACAAAAAAAAAAAATCGTCTCATAAAGCCGTTGGGAAAACGCGCGGAAAAATTTATTTGGTGGTGAAATTTGCGCGACAGTATATATCGTCGCGCGAAGATATTTTGAGCGTCAATTGAAAGTATTCGTCGAACAAAAAAAACGGGCGGAAAACAAACCACTGTTTGTAGTATTTGGCGTCAAAAAATTGTGCGACGATACTTCTGTCGCGCATAGTTCATTGCGGCGAAATGATCGGTGCATATTTACATATTATTTTGTACCCTTCTAATTTATGATTTGGTTATGTTTTTGAGTTAAACTTGTGCTTTTAATAAGTTTTGTGTTTATTTCAGTGTGATAAGCTTGAGAATCACTAATTGCATTTTGGAGACAAGTTAGCTCAAAACGGTGTCTGCAGATCAGTCAACTTCACGGATTGGACTGTACTTTCTCAAGAAGAACCAGATGATGAGCCATACATCATTGGAAAGATACGGAAGTCTAGTTTCTGTATAATTTTACGGTTCATGATTCCGAGTCTTCTAGAGAAAGTTATACATGTTTTGGCAACTTAAGGTCAAATTCGGCAGCATCTGCGTTACTGGGCCAAAAATCACATTTGAAGGGCTTTCCGATTTTTCTTTGAGCTGGGCAAACGAGCCCACAAGCTGGCTGCAATGCATTGTCATGCATGACATATGCATGATGAAGTGTTGTTGATTGTGGGAAAGTTTCGTGAAGCGTATTCAATACCTATTTTTGAGTGGAATTTTGCAGCAGCCAAATGAATTAATTGAAGTTGAAGTGG